ATCTTGCAGGTGATGGATTATTCTTTCCTGCATCCTCGTTGTTTTTAAGAGATCCTTTCTTACCTTTTCACTAGCTGCACCAGCATCTTCAAGATCTGAATCTCTGTCTTCATTTTCACTTAAACGGTTTTGCAAGCTTGTGATTGGGGTTTTCATTTCCTCTATATCTCTTTGACTCTGCTTCATGCGATCTATTTCTTTCCTGAATTGCTCATTCAAGGAATCTGTCATTTTTCTAATCTCCTCTATTTTTTTATCAATGTCTTCTTTACAAGCAGTTATAAATTCTTTTACTGCAGTGTTTTTTTCAGATTGTGTTTCCTCCCTATGTTTCTGTAATTGCTTCTTTACTTCAGATTCTGAGTTCTGAGAATTCTTTTTTTTATTTCAGAAAAGAGTTGTGCTCTGATTTCCTCTATATCTTTCTGTTGTTGCTTATTTAATATCAATACTATTAATTCATGCATTTAAGCCAAGCTAGTGTCCTCTGCACTTGTTCTAAGTGGGTACTGGATTTCCTCCATATGTTTCTGCATTTGATTATTTACTGAAGATGTTATTAATTCAGAGATTTCTTTTTTTATTTCCAGTCTGAGTTCCTGTATACCTTTCTGCAGCTGTTTCTTTATTTCAGAGGCTGTTGATTCATTACTTTCAGCTGTGTGATTCCCAATTTGTTCTGTGTTAGTGTCCTCTGCACTTTTTACAGTTGGTGTTGGGTTCTGAGGTTGCATTTTGCTCCTTCTCATCATTTTGTGTAGCACTGTCTTCTGACCTTAGTTGTAGATCTTTGTTGTAGCTATAACCTTAGTATGTACTGAAGTTCAGGTGCAGATCTGCAAAGTCTGAATTTATCCAGCTGTGCCTGGCTTTTGTCTGGCTTCTGTGCTCAGCTTCTTACTGCTGCTGCCTTTGAGAGTGAACCTGTTGTGCCCCTGTGGCAAGATGTTCAGCTCCTGAACTAGCAAGTGGTTCTATCCTCTACCCTCTCTGTAGGGATTGCAGCTGCAAGGTTACACCCCAGCCCTATATGATAGGCCTGATCTGAGCCTGTAGGGGACAAGTTGGAGTAGGGGTAGAGGCAGCTCTCCCACACACTCACTGGATCTGAGCTAGGACTGCGTCTGGGGGTTCCCGGAACGCGGCAGAAATTCCTACTTGGCGGCTGGGGTGGGGGAGGTACTGAGGAGTGGTGGGTGGCGGCCCAAGGAGGTGGGAAAGAGTCCGTCCCACGCTGTGCCTGGGCTGGGACTGGTCCCACTGGCCCAAGGTAGCAGGAAGCACTCCACACACTCACCAGACCTGGGCTAGGACTGGCAGAAATTCCTACTCGGCGGGTGGGGTGGGGGAGGTACTGAGTAACATTAGGGAGGCAGGAGAAAGGTGGGGTTGGTGTCCAGGTCCGCCTGCGAGCCATAGAACTGCTCAGGAGCCAGAGAGACCAGGCGGCACTCATTCAGGTGGTAGGGGCGGAAAGGCCTTTCCCAGGACGGGCAAGCAGGTGGCCCGCCCCTGGGGCTCTTATGCCTGCTACCTGGACTCCAGCGGAGGTTGCAAGACCGCGTGAGACATGTCTGAGGTCCTGCAGCCCTGCCCTTCCGCCCTCTGGGCTGCTGGCTGGGCTCACAGGGAGCGCGAGATGCTACGGCAGCCCCAGGCTTCGGATCCTTCTGGAGGAAGGGCGATCAGCCGTGCCCTTGGGCAGCCCGGCGTGCATCCCACTCCCGTCGTCCCAGACCAGGCTTTGTTCTTTTGAACAATGAAAGCAAGAGCAAGCAAAGCAACACCAAGGACCAAAACTGGGTAACCTACAACAATACACACCATACAGATTTTCAAAACAAGAATACCTGACCCACCGTGGTTGATGTATTATCGAATTTCATCGTCACATCTGTTTCTCAGATGAACAGATACGGTTATGCAAGATGGGACATATGATTGAATATTACTACAGGCTTCAAGATGTCATAACTTTTGTTCTCGTCTCTCATTTTCTTGTATCGTCTACCTTTAGTTTTTGGCATGGAGCGGGCCAGTTTCTCCCCCACCATTGGTGAAAGAGGCTATGATTCTTCCAGCGAACATGTTTGGTTCCTTGGTAAGAGATACGACGGCTGAGTGTGTTTGTGCTCGTATCTACATCTTCTAATCTGCTCCATTGATCCTCGGGTCTACTTTTTATCGCAATCGCTTTGTCGCATAATTTCAAGTCAGGAATTGTAATGCCTCTTGCTCTTCCTTTGTTGCCCAGGATGGCCTTTGCTATTCTAGATCTTTTCTCATTCCAAATGCATTTTAGGAACGAGTTCTCTAGAGCTCTGTGAGGTATGCTGGAGGTCTATTGATAGGAATCGCACAAAAGAATCTTTGACCAATTTTGGGAGGACAGCCATTTTCACAATGTTAGTTCTTCCTATCCAGGAGCAAGGAATATCTTTTGATTGTCAGTAATCTTCTATCTCCTTTTTCAGAGTACTATAACTTTCAGGGGAGAGATCTTTCACTTCTTTCATTAGCTGAATTCCTAAGTGTTCCATTTGTCACTGCTTTTCTGAAGGGTATGGTTTCTCTAATTTCTCTCTCAGAGTGTTGGTTATCTGTAGAGGCATGCTCTTGGGGCCTCTTCCTTTTCATTCTGGGACTGATCCAAGGAGTATTGTTTGTTTGTTTGTTTGTGTGTTTGTTTGTTATGCAGAACCAGGGATTGAACTCAGGTCCTTGCTCTTGCCAGGGAAGCACTTATTCCACTGAGCCATCTCCACAGTCCCCAAGCAGTCTTGGACTGCTGTGGCCTTGTGCACTGTCTTGCTTTCTCAATACTTTGCTTGCTTCAGGGCTTTCACTGTCCTAAAACTGTGTCCAGCAGCCATTGGAACAAGCTCTCTCTCTGGGGGCCTCCATTTCAAGAATTATTTCAAATCAAGGCACAGTAGATTCTGGATCAGTGACACAATGTCACTTTGGACACTAGGGCATTGTATAGATACAAACGGAGTCCCAGAAGCAGACAGGAGCAGGGAAGCCCACAAGCAGAGGTGGCCATCACAGTTCTATGGCATGCTCCAGGGAAGAGAGGAGCCAAATGGCCAATGAGAAGTATCTCAGGCAGGAACATATCTGCCTTTCATACAAAATTCCTTCTCCAGTGGTATGTTGTCTCATCAAATTGTACAGCCCTTTGTCTCTCTGGGGTGTGTGTGTGTGTGTGTGTGTGTGTGTGTGTGCGGATTTGCAGACAGGTCCATGATTTAAGCCCTTCTTGTGCACGTGTGTGATTTTGTGAGTGTGTGTGTGTGTGTGTGTGTGTGTGTGTATGAACACGTGTGTGATTAGTCTGTTATGTTGGGCTGAGTTCACACTCAGCCAGGACCATCACACTGAAGTCCATCCACACACACCAGCTGCTGATTCGCTTAGAGACTGTGTGTTTCTCCGTGTTCCAGAGTGGGCTGGAACCTCCAACCCTCCACCCTCGGCTTGCCAGAGCCACCGTACTTGGACGGTTTGAGGTCCCTCTCTGGCTACTGAGCCTCAAGTCACCATCATACAAAGGGAAGTGTTCTGCATCTATGTCTAGGTCTGGACGATTCATTCAGACATGGGAAAGAGACCTGTGGGACTTGAAGGACTAATTCCTTCCCAGAAACAGAAGCTAGCCACACTGGTTCATGGCAAGAACCAATCACCAGTTAGTCTCTTAGTAGTTCATATCTCACTCCTAAGGGTGGACATAGAAGAGCCACAGGAGGAGGACACAGTCATCTTGGGCCCAAGAGCAGAGGAAAAGTGTGGGATTTGGAGCCAAGATCTGCACTGGAGCTGGAGATGAAGAGTCTTGGTTCAATGTCCCACAGAGTCAACCAAAGTGGGAAGTCCCTATTTCCCCCATGGGAGAGTTAGTTCCTCGTGTTTCTGGGAAGGAAGCAGACCTTGAAGACCCACAGGTTTCTTTCCCATATCCAAATCCCTAATCTGGACAATCCTGGGTGCTTCAATCATGAATTCATCTTCTGGAGTGGATTTTCTTATAGTCTCGAACAGAATTTACCATGAGAGGGCCTGTTTTCTTAGCTGTGGGCTTCCTGGTGTTGTCTGCTGCCCTGGAGGGAACCCTGGCAGGGCTTCAACTGGCACCAGTTTGAGTGTAGGCAGAGGGGTTCAGGCACCACCCTGTAGGCCCACTGGCACTGGCACTGCCCCTGCCTCTGCCAGAGTGGCTGGTGCATGCTCCAGTGGGCTGCTCCACTACTTGCATGATGGGTTTTGGCAAGATCGTGGCTATGTTTGCTGCAGTAGGCTCCACAGCTGCTGTTAAGGGAGCTGCCACAGGGGTTGGTCCTCCTACCCCTTCTTCCCACTGTGCACCTCCAGCTCTTCCTTCTATTTCTGTTCCTCCTAAGCAGCCTGCTTCTCCTCCATCCCATACTCCTTCTCCATCCCATCTTGGTCGTCGTCTTCGTCCTCCTCCTTCTTCTCTTCCTCCTCCTCCTCCTCCACTTCTCCCATGTCCTCCCAATGCCCACTTCTCCTTCTGCCTGGCCGTGGTTACAGTGCTGAATGGGAGCAGCTTGCTTTGACGGCCATGGGGCTCCTTGGCCATTGCCAATCGCATCTTGCCGGTCACGTCTCAGAGTCTCTGAGCGTCATGCCGGGCATCCTGAAGCTACGGGAACATCTCCAGGTAAGACTCATCTGGCTGTTGGTCCTTGAAGTCCAAGTGAGAGTAAAGCTTCCATAAATGCTGTGACTTTCCAGCTAGCCCTGAATTGCGTGTCGATAGGCCACGCGGCTGCTGAGACAAGCACTTCTCCAAGACGGGTAGAAGGACACAATCTGGGATGAAGCTCAAGTCGCAGATTGCATCCAGGTCGTTGGAGAGCACCTGGCAGAAGTGTGTGTAGAAGGCCAGCTTCCGCTTGTGCGAAGCAGCGGAGCAAGCCGAATAGATGGATGTCTTGGAGGGAGCCCTGTGTGTGCTCCAGCTGGCTTCCTGCTCTTCTTCCCGAGTTCCCCACAGAGGCTCTCTTTGAGCCTGCCTCGTCTCGGGGTGAGTGACACAGGCATAACATTAGGGAGGCAGGAGAACCGTGGGGTTGGCATCCAGGTCCGCCTGCGAGCCATAGAACTGCTTAGGAGCCAGAGAGCCCAGGCAGAACTCATTCAGGTGGTTGGGGCGGAAAGGCCTTTCCCAGAATGGGCAAGCAGGTGGCCCGTCCCTGGGGCTCTTGTGCCTGTTGCCTGGGCTCCAGCGGAGGTTGCAAGACCGTGTGAGACATGTCGGAGGTCCTGCAGCCCTGCCCTTCCGCCCTCTGGACTGCTGGCTGGACTCGTGGGGGACCCGCAGTGCTGCGGGCAGACAGAAGCTTCGGATCCTTCTGGAGGAAGGGTGAGCAGCCACGGGCTTTTGCAGCCCGGTGCCCCTCCCACTCCCGTAGTCCTGGCCCACGTTTTGGCTAGGCAGAAGCCAAGCTTTTCCACTGGGCCTCCAAGGCCCTGGCCAAGGCGCCAACCTGCGAGTGTCTCCGCAAGCACTTCACAGACTCTCTCAGGCCAGTCTGCCCAAGGAATTCTGCTGTCATGGGCAGGACAGAGAGTTTCCTCAAGCATTTGCAGAGCCTCAGGGAATCGCTGGTGGCCAGCAGGCGCCCTTGTACCTTGCACGCTGCTTGCCGCACCTGCTCCAACATCACCTCCGCCATCTCTGCAGCTGCAGCTACAAGACCTCATGCCCACCCACTCAACTCCCTCACCCATTTAAGGCATGCTGCTACCCAACTCACTTCTCGCCTATCCACCGCCCCACTACTCTCCCGTGTCTCGCAGAACACAGACACCTGCTGGAAGTCAGAGCTGGTTCCAACTAGTGTGGCACCTCTGCAGGCACACCAATGCACACCCGCGCAGAAGCACGACAGCTGTTTTCCGGGACAAGGCTGAGCTCTAGGAGGGCAGCATTTGCCTTCCCGTTTGTCACTTACCTGAGAAACACATCTGGTGCACTAGAACCCAGCAGAATCGTCTTCAATCCAGCAAGAGTGGAGATGCAGGCATCAGAGCCCAAGATTCCACCACTGCCTCCTGGCGGGAGGCCTCCCAATAAGTACCTTTCAGCTCCACCCACTAGCCCACCATGCACGTGATGGCCCGAAAGTCCCACCCGCTCTGCCCAATCCCACATACAGCTTCCTCCTCCGTTGCCTTCAGATACTGGGCAGGTGCTGGATCTTCGCCTTCCCCTTTCTCATGGAAAACATGTATGCTGCGTGGGCATCAAGCACAATCGCCTGCAGTCTACCCACTGGTTGGGTGGAGGCCACATAGCCGTAGATTCCTACAGGAGGTCTGCCGGCATCCAGAGAAATCACTTTAGCTCTGCCCGCCTTCCCCAAGGCCCCAAGCCGGAAGTCTGGACCACTTAGGAAAGTCCAACCTACTGGGCCCCCTTCCTGTGTTTTGTCTTTTGTTGTTTTGCATCCAACCTGTTCTAATAAAGCTTTGTTGGTGAACAGAAAATGCAAATTTCATGTACCACGCTTTGTAAAACACACTTCTTGTTATGATTGATTGTTTTCAGCAATTTTCTGTTCTTTGGAAGAGTGAAAGAGAGAGCAAGTAAAGCAACATCAAAGAACGAAACTGGGTAACCTACAACAATACACACCTTACAGATTTTCATAACAAGAAGATCTGACCAACTGTCATTGATGTATTATCGATTTACCTTGTCAAATCTGTTTCTCAGATGAACAGTTACAATTACTCAAGATGGGACATGATTGAATATTACCTCATGTTCCCCAGAAATCAAAAATTTTTGTTTATGTCTGTCATTTTCTTGTATGATCTTTTTTACTATAAATAAATTTACTCTAAAGGGAGTATATTGCTAATTGATATAACCTTAGAAATGGTACAGATTTGGAAGACCAAGATGGCCTATCTTCTGTTTACAAGCCTGTTTTTGGTATTACCCATTGCTGCCTTCATTGTCGTTCCTTATTTCCAGATATCAACATATAGTTTTAGATCCAGTGATAATTCTGTCATGAACTGCTCATTTCAGAAATCTGATGTACATTCTTAGGTCTATTGCCTCATCCATCTTGTAAATATACATGTTTGGATTTACCCCTACCTTATTTCCTAACTTTTCTCCTTTCCCTCCCTTTGTTGTTAAATCTTTCAGTTCTGTTTCCTTCCATTTCACTGTGTCTGCTGTATCTTTCACATTTTATTTCTTCTTTTGTGTTTTTACCTCAGGCAGACAATACCATATTTACCCATATGGGTCTGGTTTATTTCACGTATGAACATCGGATCAAGTTGCACCCACTTATCAATGACGGCTTTGAGTTTCTTGTCCATTATAGCTGAGCAATACTCCATGGTTGAAACAGGAAACACTTGAAAGAATTAACAACTGGGACCATCTCTTATTGAGAAAGTTTTTTCACGTCAAAAGAAATTATCAACAAAGTGAAAAGATAACCCACAAACTTCGAAAAAATCTTAACTAATAAGCACTCAGACAAAGGTC